CCCCCGCCTGCCCGGGCACCCACGGCCGGGGCGGGCAGGAGTGCCCATGCGGCTCCTTTAGCTATGCAAACCCAGGTACTGCTCACAGTGGGAGATGCCCCCGGGCTCCCATTTGTCTTAATAAAATCTTTTTTATGCTTTTTAAGGAAGGTGTGGAGCTGGGGGGTGGGGAGAAGTTGAGGTCTGCTCCAGGGCACGGCCCCCAGGCTCCTGGGCAGGCGAGAAGATGGAGCCAGGGGAGGATGGCTACCACCGAGGAGGGGTTACCATCTTGGGTACGGTGAAAGCCAAACCGGGCAGTGGATGCCCTGGACATCCCTGCCCTGAAGAACCAGCAGCCCTGCACCCCACGGGGGGATACAGGGGTCACATGAGGTGCCAGCCCCACCGTCAGTCCCAGCCGAGCTGGTGGCGGTCGAAGCGGGGCTGCAGGTGGGGGGGGACGCAGTGGGCACACTTGTAGTGCTCCTGGATCCACCGCCCGCCCTCGCTGTCCTCGATGCAGATGGCGGCGACGCCTGCAGGGACACGGAGGGGGCTCGGCGTTGGCCACTGTGGGGTACGGGGATGGTGGTCCCTCTGCACCCATGGGTGCGCCCCTGGGGTGCCCTGCCCCCCCCTCCTACCTGCCACGATCCCCCCCAGCCGCTCCACCAGCTGGATGGCCGCTCGCATGGTGCCCCCAGTTTCAACCCACTGGTCCACAAGGAGGATGTGCAGACCTGGGAGGGGACAAAGGCTGTGGCTGAGTGCCCGGTACCCGTGCCAGCAGCCGGACCCCACGATGGGAGCACCCCACTGGCTCACCCGGCGAGATGGCGTCGGTGCGGACCTCCATCACCTTCTCTCGGCCCGAGTAGTCGGTGTAGGGCTGCGTCAGCGTCTGCACGCAGAGGTGCCCGGCTTTGCGGATGGCCAGGAAACCTTTCCGTAGTATGGCGGCGGCGGCAGCGCCTGGGGGTGGGCATGGCATTGTCAGGCCCACAGGGATGAGGGATGGGGACCCAGCGCTCACCCGCTTCTCCGCTCACCCAGGATGAAGCCCATGGCATCAATGCCGGCCACCATGTCAATGGGGTCTCCCTGGAAGGGCTGCAGCAGGTCGGCCACGCAGTCCTGCAAGCCCTGGGGAGAGAGAGCGGAGGTGCTGGGTGCCCGCAGCCCACCGTGGGCACCCGCAGCCCATATGCTGGTGCCCGTGGGCATGGCCGGGTGCCTCGGCAGCCCCGTGGAGGTGCAGCCCACCCTGGCACCCCTACGGGTGCCATCCCCCCCAGGCACTGGGTACTTGCGGGTGACAGTAGAGCCGGGAGGGGTCCAGCCACGCGTAGTTGGGACCCTTGACATTGGGGGCCATCAGCGCCAGGTACCAGCCCTTCTCCCGGGTGGCGGGGACGTGGCACAAGTCCATGCGTGGGGACCGCCGGCGCTGCAAGCACTGAGCATGAAATGGGGGTGAACCCCCCCCCCCCCCAGTCCCCACAGGGCTCCCCATGGCTCGGTGCCACCCACCCTCCCCATCCGCACCCACACGCGGGCACCCCAGGGGCCCAACGCGCCCGAATCGGCTCCGTACCTGGGTGCCGGCGGTGAGGCTGAGGCGAGCGGGACCGTCACGGGGAGCGTCACAGACAGCGACAGCTGAGCGGGGGCAGCCCCTGTGGCGCTGGGCCCCCGCCAGCACCCTCGGCCAGCTCGGCCCTGGGCTGGTGCCAGGGCGGGAGCCTTGCCCGTGGGCAAGTGATGTGCCCCCCCCCGGGCTCTGCTGTCCCAACCGGGCGGTTGCATGGTGGGCAACACCGAGGCTGGGGCATTCGCACCCCGCGTGGGTGTCCCCAGCACGGGTGACCCGGTGCCCGAGGCACCCCTTGGGTGCAAGGGTCAGCAAACCACGGTGATGCTCAGGGTGCAGCCCCACCACGGGGGCTCGGGCAGCGCGGGGCCATTCCGAGGTGGCCCACGTCCCCGTTGGGGTGTCCGGGCACCGTCTTGTCTCGCCAAGCGTTGGCTCCCACGGCCGCCCAGCGTGCCAGATCCGGGTCCGGATCGCCAAGGGGCTCC